AGAACCGAGTTATGAATTGGACGTCAGGACGGAATCCCCAAACCACGACGGAGACCTCTAGGACCCTGGCTTCGTCCCCGAGTTGAAAGGCAAGAGGAAGGCGCTTCTCTACCTCGGAAGCCCTTTCCTCGCCCTTGGAGTGAAGGGCGAGATGAAGACGCCCCTCTACTTCTACCTCCTCGGTAACCTCCCAGTAAGGCGGCTTAGGTCTCCTCCTCCGTACGAGGTCTTCCGTACAACCAATACCTTGGACCAGGAGGCAGGCTTTGGATAAACCTTTCCTCTTCTTTAGCATGTCTATCTTCCTCCTCGACAGTAATTTTGTCAGCACGACCAAAGATGCGAGGGCAGGTGGACCCCCCTCGAATAGTAAAGTTTCTTTCACCCATCCCAGGAGAATTCTCGCACTAAGATACGTCAAGAAGTGAACAAGCGGTAGATAGTCTTATATAAGCAATACAGTGGAAATAAACAAGGTTTAACAAGACAGACAAGAACAATGTGGCACATTACAGATACAAGGATAATAGAATCAGACTCATTACAAAAATACGCATACAACTGAACCCAAAATGTAAGGAGAAGATTATAAACAGGAGATAGCGTGGAAGAAAAAGAAGCAATCAGAAGGATGAAGAAGAATGCCAGTAAGCGTACCTGAGAAGTATGAGCTTCAAGAGTAAGCAGGATGTGAAGCGAAAAAGAGGTGTGAAAAGCGATGAGATGGCTGACAAATGGTTGAAGAATTGGGATAGTGGGTTAATGAGGAAACTGAAGTTGAAATGGTTAAACTCGCGAAAACCAAAGGGCAGGGATATTAAAGTAATTTCAATATAGACAAGACAGTTGAGGGACGTTTTTGCAGTAGGAATTAATGCAAAAGCGGCGGAGGAAGAGTAATACTACACGTCGCACCCGTTGAAAAGGGGAACGTGGAAAGGCAATCATTATGTGAAAAAGGAACCGATCCTTGGAACACACCAAGAAAGTGGAACTGTTTCGAAAAGGAATGTTATACCACACTACGGTAGAGCAACCTGGATATAGCCATATCTGGGATAGCCTGAGAAATCTCTGTTATCTCCTATAGCCAGGCTGATAAGCCGAGATTTGAATCAAAATAAAATAGCAGGGCCAGATGACCAGCACCCGGGCTAAAGCACAGACATCAAGCGGCCTGACTTGGACATCTCGGCATCCTGAACGCTCAGTCTACCGGGCTGGGGGCAACTGTTATGGACCTGAGTAAGGCCCACGTCCACAAGAAGCCCAAGTAACACAAGCCCAAATGTAAGCACTATAAATAGGAGCTAAAGACCACAGGTATGACTGATCTCTCTCTAACCCTATTTTATGCAATCACAACAGTGCACACACACACACCCTTTGACTAAGGCCGTCATATAGTGAGTAGTGATCCACTGTTCCCAAGATACCTAATTCATAGATATCTAGAGAGAAAGCATTAGATCCAACATTAATCACCTGATCTACGGTTGGACATCTCTGCCTTAGGGAGAACATAAGTAAATTTATATATCATAAAAAAGAAGTCGATCAACAAACGAAGTCGTAAAAATATATGTATCAAAAAAAAAATCGTAAAAATATGTTATCATGCGAGACGAGTTCATATGATAAAGTTTGTGAGCTTCTTTTTTTTTTGGTGTGGCAGTTTGTGAGCTTTTATTGATGTGAATGTAATCTAAAAATAAAATTTACCATCAGTTAATTTTAAAATAATTAATTTAAAAACCAACCAATTAATCTGTTAGCGGATAGTACATCTTTTATGTAATATGTAATTACATATTACATTTATATATTGAGAAAGGATATTCTTACTACTAAAATCTTCTACTACCAATTCATTACCTATCTAATCATCATTGAATCAAAGAGAGAGAAAGCTAAAAAAAATTTGAAAAAAGAGAAAATGTTGATACAATGGTGATTAGATAGGTAGTGAGTTGACAATAGAAGATTTTAGTAATAAGAATATCTCTCCTCTTATATATTTTTGAAATTTCATTAATAGATTCTTTTTATAAAAAGAAACTATTCATTAAATTTCATTAAATAAATTTAAAAACCAGCCAATTGGTTTGGTAGCACATATCTCTCAGAAAAAACAATACTCTCTGTCCAGTATAGCTAGATATCTCTCTCAAGAAACAGTACCACTATAGTATTGATTTATTATTATTTAGTTTATTTTAGATAATTCGGAGATACCTGCACACAAATATCTGAATACAATCTCCTTCAATTATTTTGTCCTTAAAGTATGATCTCTAAAGCTAATTTCTCGTTAAAACAAAAGATACATTGGATCACTGTCATCGGAAAAAATGTGAGACTAATTCCCCTTCGAGAGGGAAACAATTTTCCTCCAACTTTCAAAGAATTCTAAGAATTTATTTTAGTCAAGACTTAGACTTCTGATCAAAGCAAATCCTTAAACACTCAACTGCCAAAATATTATTATTTATGTTAATATTTCTTGGAAAAAGTAAAAGTATTATTTTATTTGTGTTTACAGCAGTCCAAGTGTGAGAGTTGAGGAATTTAATAGGACAAAAGGATAATAATCCAATTGGAATAATTGGCTTATCTATATGTTACTTATTTTTTTTATTTTGTAATTTTAACGGTTAAAAGAAAAAAAAATAACTATGTAGAATACAACATGTATTTGGACATGTTAATTAATAGAGTTTCCTCTTAAAATATTAACAATTTCATTAGATATTGATAAAATACATCTACACTTTCGTGAGATACATTTTTATAAATATATCTTTTTAACTGTAATAATGGTATAGATGTACAAATCATAATGGAGAGGCGTGTCATCTAATTAGTTTTCAAGATTCTAAAAGTAATGTATTTTTATTTTTTTATAAACTACAAGTATTTTTTACAGGAGACAATTTTTTTGAGTTTGGAATATCAATATTATGGTAGGGTTAACTCTCTCAAAAGAATTTTTTTATATTTACAATGACTTATACATAAGATCTTACTTAAGCGAAATCAAGCATATATTACTTGAATTAAACATTTTTTTTTTTCTAAAAGTAATGTATTGCGCTATTGAAGGTATGTTTGGTAGAAGTTTTATTTTGAGTTTGATGAGGAAGTGTGGGTGGCTATTAAAAAATATAACGTTTGGTTCAGGTTTTTGAAAAAAATTACTAGGCAAATAGGATGGTTGGAAAACGACTTTGGTGTTATTTTTGGTGAAATTCACTGTCACTAAATACCACTTGAGATGTGATATTTTGAGATAACTAGGAAAGTGAAAAAATAGGTGCGAAGTTCCTTTCGAATATAGACTTTGCAAATTTAAATAAATTTTTCGAGTAATATTTCGGTTAACTAAACATCTTTTTTTTAACTTTTCCATCACTTTTCTACCATTTTCCCATAAATTATATTTCTTTAATTAAAAAAAATTTCTACTCTACCAAATACCCCTAAAAGTAAACAATAGTTATTATAACAAGCAATGATCAGTGGAAAAAAACTTCGGAACACTAGCAACCATTTGGTTTGAGTTAGTGATACAGTAGTTTGTTCTCCTTAATTATTTGCTGGAAAGTCTCTTCTTTATAAGATCCGACAATTATTCTAATTGAATTGGTTGTCTTCGATAAACTAAAAGGAAAAATCATTTTAAAAAAGGATTTATTAATCTCCTTTGATAGAAGATAATTTGCCTCATGTATAGAAACAAATTATGTGAGTTCCATCATTTTTTAAAAATAAAAAAAATAAAAAAAGAATGAAACAATTTTTTATGCCTCACTAGCATAAGATAATTATCTTCTACAAAAAGAGATAATTTAAACCCTTTAAAAAAACTTACTGGAAATTCCTATTATCTTCCAAAGATCATGATTTTTTATTTTATTTTTTTTGGGATTTCTCCTAATAATGAATTTTTGTTGTGTAAGAGATAAAATTTCAATGAAAAACTATTGTAAAGATTTTTGACGAAAATCCTGGTTTGTCGAAATTTTTTAATGAAAAACAAATGAATTTTAAAAGTTAAAATGCTGCTATCTTTTTTTTAGCCAAGGGTTAGTTGCTTTAAAAAAAAGCATAAATTAAAAGATAATACAAATTTTTAAAATATAATTTTATCCTTATAATATCAGCTCCATTATTTTTCCTTATCCCACAATCATTTTAAACCTATCACTTTATAATTAAATATTTCCCTCTTCTGGGTTTTCACCCCTACGATATCTTCTTTTGGTTCTCGTCAATTTTGCTTTCGAGATCCCTTATTTCTTGGTGAAAGGTACAATCCAATGCTCGGTGTTTGGTGTTGGTTTTTTTCAACCTCTTTTAAAAAGAGTAAAGTGTGTGTCATTTTAAAGAATGTAAAGTTATGTCATTTTAAAGAATGTAAAGTTATATCATTTTAAGAGAGAGAAAGAAATAGATAAAGGAGAAGAGAGAGTTGACAAAAAAAATAAAGGTGTGGGTCCCACCTTTTTGTGAGAATGAAAGAATATAAATTGTGTCATTTAAAAAGATAAATATTTTTCCCTTAAAGAATGTTGTTCATGTTTTTAAGACCATCTATATGGACTTATGTTGGCTAGGAGGGTTAGGTATTGACTCCAAGATACTTGACTAGCAAGAGTAGCCTCAGCAATACTTTGACTACCAAAAGTAGCCTCAATCCTTGTATATAATAATTGAGCAAAAATGTATATAAAAAAAAAATCCTCTAATTGAATAATGTAAATGTTTAAATAAATAAAAAATTATAATTGCAATTTCAATGTGGTATATTAAAATTATAAATGCTTTTTATCCAAACATTATGTTAAAAAAGAACTTTTACATGTCCTTTTTAATAATTATATGATAACATCCAAACAATTTTTTATATAAAAATAATTTTCAAATCATACATCCAAACACAAAATAACTTTACCTCTTAAAAAAAATTCTTTTGAAAAAAAATAATGCATAATTTTTTTTTTTTTTAAAGCACATCCAAACGGGCTTTTATAGTCTTTATTACATTTTTTAAACAATAATCTCGGTGGTTCAGCTGCAGGTGCTTTCTATGTCGTATTGCTTATCATAGATTACAAAATTTTTATGCATAGATTATAATATTTTTTTCCCTAAATCACCAAGGATTCTACATCAAGACTATTATGATAAATCGTTTTAGTTCTGACGACAAAGCTATAACAACTTTGTGCCCTTCATCATTCATTGCTTTCTATATGTGATTGGGAAGAACTATTGGAAGCATGTGACTGAGAATTCTTGTTGAGGATGTAACCTTTACACCCCATGTTTTGCAAGGACGTCATAAAATTCTGAACACCATCATCTACAGCACTCTTCATATGTTGAGAAAATAACTCTGGCTTTTGAGAAGCTTTTATGGCCGAGATTGCTGTAGCATTTATCTGCAACAAAAATAAAATAAAAAGGGTAGAAGGCATAAGCCAAATGATGGAGTAATTCTTCATAAACTGAACTGCAGGGGTAAATTACTTTTCATTCATATAATAATTAGGTGACAGCGACAGTATATGCAAAATTGGATACAGTAATCTTTCCTCTCTACATATGTTTAGGAGATATATTTTTTCCTACACTTTCATATACCAAAAAAAAAAATTAATGGTCCAGAGAAATAGAGACAAACAAGTTCAAAAAGTTTTCATTACTGATTTAGCTCATTAATCCTGGTTCATTTGACTATATATACTAAACAAGTTCAAACCTACATGAAGCTTTACCTTTTGTACTTCTAAAACCTATATAAATAATCATCATAAGCCACAGAAAAGTATGGAGTTTAAAACAGCCTACTCCATCCACATCTTCAATTGATTGAGTTTCTATGTAAGTTAAAGGAACCTTTGACTTCTAAAGATAGTTTTTAATTATAAAATGAGAGGTAACAGAAAGGATATAAAAACATTTCAGAGATTGAAAGTGAAAAATGACTTGGCATATTCAGGGACCAAACTCTGAGTGATCCTCCAAAATAATAAATTCTGGACAATAATCCATGCTTTTACAGATGACAAAGTTGGCAGAAAGCAGCAGAGAACAGGGTCCCCCCTTCCCACAAATATTTCAGCTCAAAAACCAAATATTAAAACCACCCATGGTCCAATCCATTACATTGTAGTTGTAGACAAAACTTTCAAAAACTCTAAGCCAAAAGAAGTTAGGTCCCAGAGGCTCTCAACTTTAAAATTTCTAAGAACCTATAAATTCGAGAAATTCTAGAAGTCCCAAACCATGCCCAAATGACTTTTATGTATAGCCTAACTCTGAAGAGTTTTACATAACGTAATATGGTGTTCACAAAGTTGAGTTATATAAAGCATGGATTGCAGGATTCATTAATCAAGCTCGCATACTGTAAATTACAGATCAACTAAAAGCTTGTAGATCTCAGATCAAGACCTGTATTTCCTGCCACCAACAGGCACTCTTGTAGTCTCGGAATATGTGCATTAGACATAATATTTATACAAATAGATCCAAAGTAACTCAGTCCTATATATATATATATATATATATATATATATATATATATATATATATATATATATATCAACAACATCAACATCAACATCAACAACACCTTTATCCCAAATTAATTGGGGTCGGTGGTAGATGAACCCACATGAAAGATACAAAACGGTTGAAAAAAAGTAAAAAAAGCAAAAAATAAATAAATAAATAAATAAAAATAAACAAATAAAATAAAACAATAAAATAAAATAAGATAAAATAAAATAAAATAAAAATAAAATAAAATAAAAATAAAATAAAATAAAATAAAATAAAAATATATGTATATATAAATAAATAAAAGTAAAAAAGAAAGGGACAAGAAGAAGTGGGGGAAATGAAGGGGAAAGGGACTAAAAAGGGACCATCTAGAACATAGGAATAACAGCGGGTCTAACCCTCCACCATACTTATAGCTTTTCTCTATTCCGTTCTAAGACATACTGTCCGCCAATCTATATCCCACTCCATTAAATCTTGTTTTACTACCATCCCCCAAGTAAGCTTCGGGCCTCTTTTTGTGTTTAGCTCTTGGTAACAAACCTCTGTTCTTACAGGAGCATCCATGGGCCTTCTCATCACGTGCCCAAACCAACTCAATCTATGTTCTCTCATCTTCTCGGCTACCGGTACTACTCCGACCTTTCGTCGAATATCTTCATTTCTTATCTTATCCATCCTTGTGTAACCACACATCCACCTTAACATCCTCATCTCTGCTACTCCCATCTTATGCTCATGTTGCCTGTGTGCTGGCCAGCATTCCGCTCCATATAGCATTGCCGGTCTTACTGCCGTTTTATAGAATTTTCCTTTTAACTTTAGGGGGATTTTGCGGTCACACAAAAATGCAGATGCACTGCGCCATTTCATCCACCCTGCTCTGATTCTGTGATTTACATCCTCATCAATCTCTCCACCTTTTTGTAAAATGGAGCCCAAGTATTTAAAAGCATCTTTTTTGGGTACCTCTTGACCATTTAGATGCACGGGCTCTTGGTCCCCATCTCGTACCAGAGAAAACTCACACTTCAGATACTCAGTCTTGCTTCGACTTAATGTGAATCCTTTGGATTCCAATGTGCTTCTCCAAAAAAGTCATGCTCGTGGTGTCTTTTATAAAGAAAGGGAAAAAAGAACTCCAAAAACCAATTATGAATACAAAAGAGATTACCTAATAAAACTTACTATGAAGCACAGATATAATATCATAACAAGACATAAGAAGCACAAATCAAAACAGGCCCGCTAAGAACACTGTGACGCAATAAACTGATAGCTACAATAAAATTAAGCAAACAAATCTAATAAAGAAAGTAAATGCTAAAAGCCCAAATCAAAGTAATACTTTTAACAACGACAAAATCGACATCGTACCGATTGTGAGGCCATCTGCACCAAAGCTTTGGCAAGTGGGAATATGCAAAACCTTTTGACAGATAAAGAAACAAAAATAATTAGTAAGTACGAAATAGAGATTTTGTTGCTTACTTAGTGCTGCATAAGTTCTACAGAAGTAGAACTTTATATTATCTTTGCACTCCTTACTAAGCAGACAAAGCAGTAGATCAAATAATGCTTAAAAAATATATAGTGGACTTTTTTTATACTAATTTACTTTAATTTGTTCATTAGGAACCAAATAAAAGGATTTAAAAAGAAAAGGGAAACATCATACATTCCTCGGCCACCAGCAAGTGCTTCCTCTGCCGGCTCTTTCCATTCATCAATTCTGTTAGACACAAATCAATAGTATATCATAGTTACTACTATTTGTAAAACATACCACAAGATTAATAGAAAAGCAAGAGAACGAGACAAGGAGATTACACCCATCCATAGCGGCGGTCAAACAGAAGCCGCTTTGAAGATTGTCTAGAGTTTGGAACATTGATTCTGGAGCTTGTGGATTCCATCTATCACACGTATTTGCTTAACCGAGTGTAGGAGGAGGGAAAAAGGGAAAAAAAAATAACTCCTGTTACTATAGCTGGAGATGAAGGTCACCCATGACAGTATATCCAGAAAGGGAGAGACATTTTGCATAAATAGTTTCTACCTTTTTGGTGCTTATTTTCAAAATAAAATGTTAATTTGGAAAACTTAATTTGGTTCAGACTCAAGAGATGTTGACAACTAAGAAAAAAGTGAAATACACAACAAAAACCTTATTGCAAAAACTAAAAAAACCACTCCCCAATAAACCCCGACTAATGATGGTAGGGGTGAATATGCAAGGAGACTATTTTGTGCATTTGAACCCGTGATCTTTCAGTCACAAAAGAACAGTTTTACCATTGAAGTAAACTTGCCCTCTTCAAAAAAAAAAAAAAAAACTTATTGTATGTATTTAAAACTTATTGTTCTAGCAATTTTCCACATTCAATCACAAGGCTTCTTGGTGTTTGTATACATAACTAAAAATTCTCACCCTATAGTTAAACTTTGACACTCAATAATTCTTTAAAATAACTACTGGCCCAAAATTCATATTTTAGTATCTTCAAGACCTCAACCTACAAGGCTACAAGTCTTTCAACAAGATAATTAAAGTTTTAACAAAATTTTTGCAAGCAAAGCATAATAAGATACAAAATAGTTAATCTATATCTTGAGTTGAGAAACCAACACACTTCAGCTAGAAAACAGTACAAGCTACTAATATTTGCTCTACCATTTTTCTCAACTCAACCACAGAATATTTAGCAAGCAAATTACACAATTTGAAATTAAAACCACATGTCAGGTTCAGCCTTATAAAAAAAATTTAAAAAAAAATTGCCACACAGGACCTGATTCATATACCATCTAGCCCATTTCTGTTAATTTCATCAAACACCCTGCACTCTTTCTTGAAGAAACCTCCCACACAATAAACTGGTGAGATGTTATTTAACCTTTACAATAATCAAAAATTACTGAGCACCAAAGTTTAAAAGCTACTAAACATTAATCATTAAAAGTATATATTTATATACCCTTTTCACCGAACATTAACAAAACTCTTTATATTTTTTTTCTGAGAATTTGAGGTTTAAGTAACGGAGAGAATGCACAATCAGTGATATTTCCAATCATGAAACCATCCCAGAAGACGGAAATTAAACAACAAAAGAAGGTACCTTTGAGTAAAAGTTGAAGCTTGCAAATGGTTCTGCCTCAAAGTAACACTTTTTTTTTTAACCAAAAGCGTCTTACATGATCTTTGTGTGACGAATAGAAATGGGTTCGAAGCTGTGGGTAGAATGTGGTGAGAAAGAGATGAAATAAGTGGAGCTGCAATGGGAAATTTTGGCCGGTTCGAACCCAAAATTGGTAAACCGGTCCGAGTGAAATGCAATCAAACCAGTGAGAATCGATCCGACCTAACCGTTTTAATGAAAACCGCTGACCGATTTAAGGAAAACCGGACGGGTCATGGGAATTTTTATACGATGTCGTTTTTTTTTTCCGATATATTTCTCTTATAAATTGAGAGATTTATAACGAGAAAAAAAATAATGCAAACATATTACACATAATTTATTTTGACTGAACCAGAATAAATTATTCCGGTTCAAGGAAACCGGACGGGTCATGGGATTTCATATTTTTTTTAAAACGACGTCGTTTTTTTTTTTCGATATGTGAAAATAAAACGAATCAGCGATGATAGGCATTATTAGGGTTTACGCTTGCAGTACCTAACTTTACAATTTAGGGCTTGAAATTGAATTCATTGTTCCCACTCATTTATGTTGTGAGATATTTAGAATATATTGGTATTGGTTGTCTTCAATTTATCAAGGCACAAAGAGCTTGAAATGAGTTTTAAGGAAACACCGAAGAAAGCCGGTGCTCCCCAAATTGTTAAGCTGGACACGGCATTGAAATTGGTAAACATTTTTTGTCTTTTTTTGTTTTTTTGCCCATCTTTCTATGAACGGAGAATAGGGTTTGTGTATTTTGTGCTTGTCAAATGGACAGTAATTGTTTTGTGGTATTGATGGGCAAGAAAGTGTTGATTCATGTAAAATAAAGAAAGACATGTTATAAAAGCACAAGGTATTGCCACTACCCACTAATATTCAAATAGGCTCATGATTCATGACTCTTGAGAATTTTTTTGAAAGAAATATGTGAAATTTTTGTTGATTATGTTGGATCTCAGTATGTTTACAGTATGTGAAATTTAATTCCTTATCTATATTCCCACCCTCATTCTCAGAGAAAAAGGAAACAGTAAAAAATATGTTTACATCCAAATGTTGTCTCAAACTGGGGTGAGCGGAAAACTCGTAGAGCTCCACTCTTGCAATTGGGTCGTTGCGATTCCGGGTTGGATGTATTTTGTACCAGAACCGGTGACTCACTTTATACTCCCTTTCACGCTCATGTCACGGCGAGGTGCTACGGAACAAAAAACCGCAAAATCTGATCCAATTTATCGTAATCGATTAGTGTTGGTTAACCGTATTCTGAAACACGGAATCTTGTCTTCAAATTCTTTTTTTTGCGCAAAGCTTTTATTTTTCATAGTTATATAGGATAAGGTAGGAGGGACTTTCATCAAAATATTATGAATTTTTTGGTGCTTCTGGTAGTTACTTGTCAACCATTCTGATTGGCAGGCTGAGGTATGGGTAAATAATATGAGCAAGGGTACAGATGATGAAACAACAAATGCGGATATAGAGAGTCGACCTTCTAGGTCAGTATAATAACCACTACCAGTTTATTGTTAACCGTTTGACTTCTGTAAATCCATATGATGTACCTAGTTGTCTGTCATGATGACTATTGTTTTAGTTAAATTGTAACATCACATGTCTTTGTAGGCTTGGTCTAGGTGCAAAAGTTTCACGCCAATCCAAAGTTGGTCCTTCAGATGACCCTGTTGAAAGGAAATTGTATGCCAAATTAAATGCTGGAAAAAGAAAAGCAGCCAATATTGCTAAAGAGTCTACCACAATTGCAAGAGATGTTCTGGATGACTATGAAGACGATGAAGATGTTGAAAGCAGAACTAATGCATTTGCTAAGAGGAAGGCAACAGTTCCTTTCACCTCATGTATACTAGGAAATAAGAAGAAGAAGTGACATTTACTAATATGAGTTGTGTTTTTTTTTTTTTTACTTTAAGGCTGAGTTATATCACTTATTTTGCATTTGACTTGTTGACATGTTGGCTTCAACCTAATGTAACACATTTTTTTTTAAAATAAGGTCATTAGGCATTTCATGGAATGTAGTTATACACTTGAGTAAATAGGTGAAAGTAACTAGCTTATAGCCTACCCAATTGGCATCTAACTTACCTTAGGAGTTACTTGATGCGGGATTGATTTTAATCTTATCATCAATATTTTGACTATCTTTCTTACTTTCCTCTCCAGGTCTCAAGGATCTTCATTGTAACAAGAAAAAAAGGAACAATTTTCAGAAAGAAATGTAGTTTGTATATATTGGTTTAGTTTGACATATTAGCATTTGAGCATATATACCCTTTAAGTAATTGATACTAATTTTAGCAAAGTATCGGTGCCTCTTGCTGGGAGACATACATTGCTGGTTTCTTGTATGCCTTAAGTTGTCTTCTCCATGATGTGATGTTTAACTTGGTGGCACCTAAAATTTGTAGTGTAGATTGGTAAATCAGGTTTACTGATCATTCCTCCTTGAAGAAGAAGGGACAATAATATGAAACCAAAGAAATATCTGAAAACTATTTCTAGATCAATTTCTGGATACAGTACAATTTAGTGAACCCCGGCAACCAGTGCGCTTTTTTTATTATATTTCTACTTTTAGTTTAGAGCTTAGAGACAGTAGAACTACTTAAAACATGAAAGTTCCGGATCTTGTTTTTAAAAATATGGTTTTAACTTTTAAGAACATAGCAGATAGGCTCCTCAAGGTTCTAGTGCAGGAATGCTCACCAAATTTGCTTCTGGAGTACTCAGGGCTGAAGGAACAGAAACAGGACTTGGTCGCCCAGACACATTGGTATGACTTTCTAGCTCTTCAATTTTCTTAGTGAAGGAAGAAGAGTGAAAAGGGGATGACAATGGAGATGATGGTTGGTTCTCTTCTGTTATTTCCTGCAAAAGAAACAAATGATAGTTTAGTCTTTAGATAAAATCTTACAGATATAGGGGCTTTCCAAGAAATCTTGAGTTAGGCCTTTTGTATAAATTATTCCCAATTATACTTATGGCATTGTTATCAATTTATCCATAAATCAATTATTTTTTTTTTTTTTTTGATAACATAAATCAATTATTTTACATAAAAACATAATGTATAAGTGACATTCCATTTTCAAACATTCAGAACATCTTACACCATCAGGAATTTCTGAGATATCATGATTTTGGTCCTTTCCAGTGATGAAACCATTGGGATCCGAGGATGATTCTAAAACACTAATCTCTTTTGTAAATTCTACATTATCTGCACAAAATTTAGGAAAGGATAAATATAATAATATATGTAAAGACACGCACACACACACACTAAAGTTTATCATAGCATCTATAACTAAATCTTGTACTTTGAACATGGTATCTTCAGTAACTATCTCATATCTAACAGGATAACACAGGCTTCTGCTGTATCAACAGGACAGTGATCATGTGAGAAATTCGATTCTGATTTTAGTATTTGAGCTTTCATCACTTATGCTTGACTGCTTCTCTGAATTGTTTGTTTCCTGATCCGGATGACCAATAAAGTGGTTTGGGAGCTAGAAAGCACCGACACGTTTAAAAAAAAAAAAAAATTGCGTGTGGGTGTCTGACACGTGTTTGACACATTGTCAATATTTTGGGATATGCGGTCAACGTTTTGATACGTGTTTTTGACACACGGTCAATTTTTTTTTATACGCGGTCAACATTCTGACACGCATCCGACACATTTTTTTTTTTTGGTCTAAATTTTATTTTATTAACTAAAAAAAATTTAATTTATAAGTTTAATTTTTTCTATTATGGAGTTTGACATAAAATTGACAACGTATAAAAAATTACTTTTGCTTTATATTTATATTATGAAATTTGAATATTTGATTGGTTATATGACTTATTATGTATTGTTATATGTATTAAATATAAATTATATTAAATATATTAAAAATATTATTTAATATCAAAATATGTCATGATATGTTAAAATATGATATTTTTTAGAATTAACATGTCGGAAAGTTGTGTCGGTCACGTGTCGGTGTTGGTGCAACATAAGACAAATTTTCCTCATTGACGTCCAAAGTTTTATGTAAAGTAGAAAGTCTTGCCTGTGCAATGACAAAATGACGCTCCAAATCCCTTCCCGGAGTTCCAATAGTAGAAAAGTTGTACTCAGGAAGAGATAGTATTCTCCCGAGGGATTTGGGAATCTGCCTGCTTGAAATGTCCGTGTTCTTATCTCCATTATGGAGCATCTCAACCAAATGCTTCTTACTTGTCCTAGATCCTTTATTTAGACCCAAATAACATTTTTGACAAAGTCACTTATGTATTCGTTCTAATTAATTATATGATACAAAATAAATATATATTATAACAATGAAACACAAGAAACATTTATTACATGCTTTCATTTTAATTACTTGTACACGTCGAACCAACTAGTAAAAGAACAGATAAAAACAAAGCTATGAATCTAATAGTTACAAAGGTCTATTCTACCTTCAAAGTAACAAACGATTTAAAAAATATTAAAACACAATTATTGGACAAGATAAGGTTTATAAATTCATCCCCAAAGCAACAACAAATATTATTGTTGTTGAATATGCCTATAACAGTTCTTAAAATGTCTACTGAAGAGTCCAGATAACAGCAAATCTCGATACAAAAAAAATTTCGACTTGCATGGATTAGAGTCGATTATATTTAACATTACCTTTATACTTTTACACAAAGGTAACTCAACTTGTGACCTTCATTTTTTTTTTTTTGTCATTTTGTTTAGTAATTTTCTTTTTATTTCTTTCAATACATAAGTAATATGGCTTTTTTGTATGTGTGTTTCTTATTATCATGCATAAAGCAAGATATTAACAGTTGGAAAAAAAGGGGAAAGGGAGGGAGAATATTTTTGTGCTTTTTCATGAAATATTAATGTCCCCGTCATGGAAAAATAATACATTCCAAAAACACATCTCTTTTCTCGACAAAAACAAATTTCTATGAAAACAAAAACAAAAACTTGAACCATGGGGAGAAATATCAGTTTAAATTCTTAAAAATAACTTACTAGTAGTAACACAGGATGTAGGGAATAGATTCCCCTCATATTGTTGAGATATATAGTCTCTCATTGATTGGATGGGCAACCAATGTGGGACTATATATCTCAACACGCCCCCTCACACAAGAGGGCTTGAAGAGTGGACAATGCAACAGGCTCAGCCTACCTGTGCTAAGAAACGCCACAAGAGAAAGTGGGGGGCGGCGAGACTCTGATACCATGTAAAGAACCTTGGGATACACCACCCCCAAAAGCTAGCTCAAGGGGTGAAAGTGTCCAAAGCCTTATAAAGGCCATATTAGTTGCTCATCCAATCAATGTGGGACTATATATCTTAACATATATTGTTTCAATATAATTATTTCAATATAATTATGTCATGTAAAAAAAATCAGTTATTTATTTATAAATAATATTTAGCAAATAAATTATGGGTTTGATGTTTGTCCTTTTAAAGGACATAAGTTATGTCATTTTAAAAGAGAGATAGACACAAGGAATGAAAATAATGGGAGAGAAAGTGAGTGATTTTTTTTTAATTTAAATTATAAATATATATTATTTTGTGTCTATCTCTCTCTCTCTTAAAATGACATGACTTTATATAATTTAAAATGACAAAATTTGAGGTGAGAGCATGTGTTCGAATCTCCTCAGTACCACCTTTGGGAGGGGTTTAAAGCTTTAATCCTGGACCCGCCCCGAATCGGATTAGTTGCGAAATAATGAACCGATTGGAATATTTTCAGAAAAATGAAAAAAAATTATATTATTTGAAATGACAAACACTTTTCCCATAAATTATTATTCCGTCTTTATAATTATGATTATTGATTTATAAATAAATATATAAATTTTGTTACATGATATAATTAGGTTAAAACAAAATATCCCATAAAAACAATATAAAGACCATTAGTTTAATCACAATTATAACCTAAAAGGTACATACACACATATTTTTGAGAAAAAATGTGTGTCGGAAATAGACATATTTCGACATGCGATCAATTTTTTTCGACATGCGATCAACGCTCCAACACATTCTGACACGTGATCAACGTTTTCTGGCACTCATTCAACGTTTTCCAACACGTTTTTTTAATCATATTTTTAACTAAACATGAAAAATTAATTTATAAATGAAATATTTTCTATTATGAAATTTGACATGAAAAATTATTTTTGCTTTATATTTTTGTTATGAAATTTGAATTTTTAATGGGTTATATAACTTATTACGGACTGTTATATGTATGAAATGTAAACTATATTTTTATATATTAAAAATATTAAATATTAAAACGTGTCCTAACATATTGTACTTTTATATTTTTTAGAATTAACGTATCGACGTGTTATGTCGTGTCTCGTGTCGGTGCAATATAGATTATAACTCTGGCTGAATTACAAGAATTTTTTAGGAGGATGTATTGGATTAGGATTTAAAAAAAAAAAATTGAGATAAAAATCTTATAGATTTTAAAAGACTATTTATAATTGAAGGGACTTTAAAGACTTTTTTTAGAATCAAGATTTTATAAGACTGGATTTTAAAGGATTTTAATAGAATTTATAAGATTTGGAAGGACAATATGGATTTATAATATTTTAAAAAATCATATGAATTTTGAATAAACATTCAAATTTACAACAGTCAATAAAAAAAATAACAAAGAAATGCAATGATATTAATAAAAAAAGTAAAACATAATATAATTTTCTCAATCAGTAAAACATAATGTAATTGTTAACAAACATTCAAAATTACTAAGCAACAACTCCACATATCTAAACCTATACTAGTCCTCCACGCATTAACATTTTCTTATTCATGCTCTTGGGTTTGATCAATGAGTTAAAAATTATTTTCTTCATTTGGTATTAGAGCTATGTATATATGATTATAAGTTCCAAATTTTTTTATTTATCAAAATAATTCTAAATTTACATATAGAACCTAAAGTTCATGATAGAATTCCATTTGAAAATATTTGCAATTGATCTTGAAAACTTTGGGATTTTTATTCTACGTGACGAGAGTTTTCTAACCATATATCATATGTATATTTTTATTGAGTATTCTAAGAAAATTTCGAATATGAATATCTGGATTTTATCACATGAAAGTTTATAAAATTTCTCAAATTATTTTCAATTGAAACCTTAAATTGCTTTGGGGCTTTTGAAAGATAAGTCTTTAGTTATCTATTGTCTATTGACACAAAAATTGTTTGAAATCGTTTTACATAGCGAAGGAATTTCTTTTATGAATGTATTATTATAAAATATAGTGTTCATATTATGAAAAGTTTTAATCTTTCTTTAAATTGATATTGTTTCAATGATATAAAAAAAAAGATTGGTTTAAGAGTTTTAGTTTCCCTATTGTTTTCCCATTGTTTACGTTATTTTTAATGCAAAAATCACACATTTTTGTGCCAAGAAAAATTGTAACTCATAGTTTGAAAAATTATTTTTTTAACTTCCAAAAGCTTTAAAAAATCTACCGTTTTTTAGATGGATTATAATAGAATCTTATTGATTTGTTGTTTCTGGATTGTTTTATGATGAAAATCGCTCAAAAATTTGTTATTTTTGAGCTTTAACGAAAAGCCTATGGTGAAACCTGATTTCGAGCGGGCCAATCCGTCAAAAGAAGAAGGAGACCCTATAATAGAGAAATATCAAGAAATCATAGGGATTAAGGTGAGATTGTGAGAGAAACATCCTATTTATATTTCTCATTAAAAAATCTCACGACCAATAGAAAATCCATTAAAATCGTCATATTTTTTAATACCACAATATCATTTTTCCTTTGTTTAAAATATTAATTGAATACCAACGAATTTAGACAGACTCTAAAATAATCCTTTAAAATTCAAATCGAATATCAAATAACTTTTTTTCAATCTTTTAAAATCTTAGTTGAATACCAATGAATTTTTTTGTCCAAAAATAATCCATGAAAATCATTTAAAATCTCAATTCAATACAATCCCTAAAAAATAAAAGAAATTGATCGCTAACGGCGGCGTTTAGGTAACAAATGCTATATAACTGGATTAGGACAAGTAATGATCCCTAGATCTAGCACTCAGTAGCTGTAGCCATCGCAACTCATAGCTCGTTTTCAATTTCAATTTCCAAATCCGTCGAACCAGCGTCAGTTGCGTATTTCAGTAAGTTAGTTCTCAAATCCTTCCTTGATCCTTTTTTTATGATTAAATGCGAAAACGATGTCAATAGTAGTTGGATTTTCTGTTATTTGTTCTGTTTAGGTTGTGTGGGTTTTTCAAAGTTTTGAACGTTTGTAAGGAATAGTCAAATTTTTAGCTCTATCAGAGGGTGGTGGATTGAATTTTTTTATTTTTCTTATTTTTATTTTTATTTTTACTCTGAGGAATACCATTACCAACTGGGTAGTATCAAGTTGATAACTTTCAAGGTTACCAGATATTCCTACGTATTATTATGATTATATTTGCGGCATTATAAGGGAAATATGTAAAATAAGTTGAGTAGTATGTCTGGTATTTAGATAATGAGATTTATGGCCTTACCCCAATACACTGTGAGATTCTATTCTTGCTTGGTAATTCAGCAAGCTAGATTTATGGTCAATGATTTTATCATATTGTTCTCTTAGCATGACAAACTCTTGGGCTCTGAGCTGGTGGTATTTTTTTGATCGCATTGCTGATCGAAGTATCAAATCCTTTGACTTCTTGTTGCCATTGTTTACTCGTGCACTTGTTCTAATGGTTTATTATGCTTAGTTTAAAACTGTAGAATTGGAGTAGGAATCACCAAAAACCATGATAAATTATCTTCTAGTTACACGTGGTTGTATGTGATTGTAGGGACCCTATTATGTCATATATTGTTTTTCCCTTTATTCAAAACGAACATTAAGAGGACTGAACATTTTCATTTTTTCTTAATTGGGCCGCGGGGAGGGGTGAAAACAAACCAAGTTGTTTGGATCTCTTGAGAATGATAATGAACAGAATGCATTGTTCAATTTCTATAAATACACTCTTAACTGTTTTGCTTAGTTGATGTTCTAATTAGGACTATTGTGTAGTCTAGAAATTATAGCAACTACAAATTTTTCTTGTAATTGTCTCTTCAGTTTCTTGATGCTATTGATTGGACTAGTTTGGTGTGCTAAGGGTCAGTTGTTGCTCCACATTCCTTTTAGATTCCCTAACAATGTAAAATGAATTTCTTCTCAAATCTCCATTCCTTCCTTACCAAACAGAGCCCGAATTCTCATATCTCATTTTTTAATCAATAAAGAAAGAAAATTGACATTCTCATACTAATACCAAGATATGTGTATAGAAGGCCTGAGCTTGTTGTCCGAGCATCATTTTGGTGGATTATTTTTTTTATTTTTTATTTTTGTTTAGGTTCATGTCCTGTTTTGGTGGACCACTAGGCACTGATCTTTGTTCTTCAGTGAAATATTGAATGGTCTTTTAGAGAGATTTTCTACTACGACTGTTTATTCCAATACAGTTGATGCTTGCCTTTTGTAGTTTATTGGTTCCAAATAGATTTTATCATTATAACTGTTTGTGGAAATTTAAAAGTATGGCCATCTTGGAATTTTCCTATTTCCCAAGTTAAGGGCTCTTTTCAAAAATACAGGATTTAAGTCTTGTGACTTATTATACTGGCACATATGTTATCTCCTGCTTACTATTGATAACTTCTACTTATCTTCCATGTAAAAGAAAAGAAAGTGAACAAGATTAGAATCTGTTTTTCCACAGCCCTGAAATTGAACACCAAGAGTAAGGGCTTTCTTTACCTGATCAGGGCTACTAAATTTGCCCTTTCTGGTGATCACTGAAACAGAAACCTCCATTTACTGACAAGATGTTTTCACATTTGCTATGCATATAGTTTGATCTCAGACAAATAGAATCTAAAATGCATTTAGGATTGAGTTATACTTCATTTGTGGATTATGTAACATCTGATAAACAATGTGGAAAGAATGTGTATTTTCATGTTTCCATGAGTTCATCCTAGGTAACTGAGTTACTGCTGTTTGTATTAAGCTTTGTATATCATAATTCCATGAATATGTTCTGCTTATGTGCAGATTTTTTATTTTCATTTTATTTTTTAGAAAAGGGGAAGGGGATTGGAGGACAGGAAAGAGATAGGGAATCTGCTATTTTGGATTCTTGTAAATGAAGCTATTCTAGTTTATTTAAATTAAACACTCATCTTAAACTAATATGGAACCGTTACTTTTTTTCAGATAGGCTGAGAAAGGTTGGTGCAAAAGCCATGGTTCTTGACTCTCTTTTGTCTTCCCCCCATAGGAGGTCACCATCATTCAGAAGGCAATTACAAAGAGATGAATTGGGTAGTTGGTCAGCCCTTGTTCAGAGGCACCGCTTCCTTCTAACAGCTCTTGTTTTGCTGACTTTCCTATGTACTGTTTATCTTTACTTTGCTGTCACTTTGGGGGCTACGAGTACCTGCACTGGATTGACTGGAGCTCAGAAAGCTTCATGCCAATTGAAGCATGCAAAGAACTTCATGGGTAAGGGTAAATTAAAAATTTTATAATATTTTATAGAGAGCTACATCATACCTACCTGTTGCTTGAATTAGTGTTTTTAAGCTCTAGCACAAAAGAGAACGAATGTAACCTAAACAGAGAAAAAGAGAAAGGAAAGAAAGAAGAATAAACTTAGAATTTGTGATCACCTTCTTATTGTTTTATGTAGCTACTAGCTAGTAATTTATTCTTTGTTGTCTATCACTAATCCAAGTTGTACCAAATTTAAATCTGGATCATTTCAGTTCTTCATTAACAGTCTATCTCAACTTTGTATATTATGAAAATCTGTGATATATGGGTTTTGTTTTCATGTATTTATTGGAGCTTTTGCTTCAGACGTACACTTTTAATATTTTATATAAGGGGTTTGCATTCATCATTTAATATGACACAAAAATAATTTCTACACACACAACATTTTGTGGGGCCCACACTTTTTGAAGCAAAAAAAAAAAAAAAAAACTACGACACGCAAAATGAATCTCTATAACATTACACAATCACTTTTCCTACAACATAACTCTTATAAATTTTTTTATATAAATATAATCAATTTGTTGCATTGTTGACAACTTTAGCTAAACTAGCTTTCTTATAAAAATGGCAAAAATTATTGGGCCCAAACCCAAATTTTAAAGGTGGCACCTATCTCTAATAGCAGCAAATGGTAGACATCTATGGAGAGTGCAAGCATTGGTTGACATCTATCTTGGGAAATGATTATTGCATCAAAAGGATACTTCATAAAGTGGATGTGGGGCATTGAAAAAAACCATTGAGCAAATAACATTATTGCTATATCTTTCCTCTGCACTTTATTTTGGCGTGACCGGTTTGTCTTTTCAATAAAATAGGTTAATGCAAAAAGAAATCAAAACCAAAAGAAAATCTCAATGTAATGGTTTAAATGATAATCATATATGGTTTGATTTGGTTTTCAGCATTTGTGGGGTTGTTTCAAACCAATGAATACTCCTACAGGGCTAATAGTGGATTATAGGGTTTCATATTTAATTAAAGGCATCTTATAATCCCCTAAATAAAATGCTACTAATTTACTTTCGTTAAGCTCAAAACTGTCTTATATTAAATAATTTATTAAAAATGGTTAAAAAAAACTTAGCCCAAAACATTGAGATTTAAGGTCAGGACTCGTTTGGATGGACTTATAAAAAAAAATTTCTTTATTCCTTGTTTATTTTAGAAGGATTTTTTTAGAAAAGTTAAATTTTTTCAAATTTTTTTTAAAAAAATAGATTTTCGAGTTTTTTGTGATTTTTTTTAAGCAAATATCCAAACAAATTTTGTAGTAGAAGTGTTTTTTTTTTGAAGAAAAAAGAGAGTAACTTTTGGATTAAAAAAATTGCTCATGCAAATGGGCCCTAACTGAATTGCAATCTGATAATAACTAAAGTGTTTAAATTTTTTATTAGATGAAATCATAATAGGAAACATTTTAAAGAAAACCTAACATACTTTAAAATCAACTAATTCTTTTTTAGAATGTGCAAATTTTATTTTATTTTTTCAAATGTTGGCTAACACTAATAATATTTTGAGTACTAAAATTATATTAAAAAAAAACCCAAACTTCAAAATATGTAGATTAATACATCAGGAATACAAAAGGTTGTAACCACATAGGCATGTAATGCAACCTAATAACACCTAATAAAATTAGTCATCTGCCATGTAAAACATGTGTTTTACAACATATACTTAATTGTTATCATAATCAAATTTGTGTTTAATTTATATTGATGTTAGTAAAAATTCTTAATTATCAACTTAGTTATACTTTTTTAATTAATAATATGTGAAATAGTGTATTTCGGATCAAACTTAAACCCATCAAATTTTTAATAGATTAATTTTAATACATAATTAAAATGAAACTTTATTAGTACTATTATCTAACTATGCATTGTTAAATGATTAAATAAATTTGATTATCAAAACTACTTGAAAATCAATTTTTTTTTAGTGCACTGACACACCATCATAACATAAAGAAGATGATACCAAACAACAGTAGCTCAGTTAGTACTAAAGGAACTGAGTAAAGGGAAAGAAAATAGCCTTGGTTCAATTCTCACATATCACCTTTGTTAAGTGTTAAAATATTTTTATTTTTGACGCGTTTCATGCTTCAAATTAGTCCCATAACTAATTCAAATAATCAAAATTTATAAAAATATCTAAGGGAGTCAATTCATAAAAAAATAATTAGAGTTGAATTGACTAAACAAGAGTTTATAATAATAGTTTATCAAATTTCGAATAAAGTTTAGAACCCATCTTACATCATTGCCACCTATTCCATCACCACTGGCTAGCAAACTTACGTGGTTCAAAACTAAATTCGTTAACTTTCACCGAACAACAAATCTCAACTTTATTCTAATATTATTGATACATAAATATAATATATGGAAAAAAATATTTGTCATTCTAAGTTGAACTACTGTATTTTGGTACTTTTTAAAAGAATAAAATATATTTTGGGTCTTTAACAAATATTACAGGGCTCAATTTAATCTTTTAAAAAAATTGATTTATGATATCTTTGAAATTTAAAATAGATCTATGTTAGTCATTTTGAGGGACAAACATGGGTTTTCTTAGAATTTCAGAAGGACCACAATTTTGATTAACTGGGTCTATTTTAATTTTTAGAGAGATCACAAGTCGGATTTTAAAAAAAAAATTAAAAAGGGCTCGTTATTTGTTTATAGGACCCAAAATGTACTTTACTCTTTTTTAAAAATTTTATATTCCCTCTTCAATGAAAATTAGGAGGAGAGAGAAATTAATAGTATTGTAGAATAGAAAAATATAAAAATTACTAAAACACAATAATTTCACTTAAAATAACAATATAATTTAAAGTAACAAACACGTCTTCCATTATATATTTATTTAAAATTATGAGTTTTGTATGTTTTATAAAAAAATAAAATGAAAACTAATCTATAAATAAGGCCAAAAAAAATAATTTTTAAAATTATATGAAAGGGCAGGATATTGTAATAATCAATTAGTGTTACTACAAATATTACTACCAATCAATTTTACCGTTAGATCAATTATGTTGATCCAACAGTTATATTTATTTCAATCATTGTATGGTTATGATTTCTCATATTTAATACTTTATTATTATTATTTTTTGTATGGTTATGATTTCGTTCGTATATTTAATGCTTTCAAATTAAATATAAAGAATCATAATCATACAAAGATGAAAATAAATATAATTATCAGATCCACATAATTGATTTAATGATGAAATTAATAATATTAATAATAACATTAATTAGTTGTTACAATATCGCTTATATGAAATAATGTATAAATTTTCTTTCATGCTTTCCCATTTTTGTTGATGCCCCCGATAAATATAGGATATCACGCAATGCCCCCAAGGCCAAGCAAGACGACTCGGTATCAAAGGGTGAAAAGGTCATAAGAATCCCAAGTCAGCACACACCTCCCAAGATAACAAATATTCTCTCTCTCTCTCTTCCCTCGTCGTCTTCGTCACCGCCCTAACTAAAATCCAATTCCACCCAAAATCTCCAAATCCACTCTTCAAAATCCCCAAACCAAACTTGCTCTTAAAACCCTAATTCGATCACCAAAGAAGAAAGAAAAAGCAGAAGATCGATGTGGGCAGCTTCTTGCCTGGCGTCATGCTGCGCGGCCTGCGCATGCGACGCTTGCAGGACCGTCGTTTCAGGGATCAGCCGTCGTTCGGCGAGGATCGCGTACTGTGGCCTCTTCGCCCTCTCCCTTATCGTTTCTTGGATTCTCCGTGAGGTTGCTGCTCCTCTCATGGAGTCCATCCCCTGTAAGTTTTTCTCTCTTCAAACCCTTCCTTTTTTTTATTTTTTAAAAACTTCACTTGTGTTCTTCAATTGATTTGTTTTATCTTCTATCTCAATCGGCAATTTCGCATGAAGATCTTTAAATTGTGTTTTTCCTCTCTGCTATGCCATATTCCTTTTTTTTTTTTTTTGAGGTTTTATAATATATTGATTTATTCTTGAATTGGAGTGCTGTGTGTGACCATTGCTCTTTTAATTTTTAAGGGTTATTATTATTATTTTCTAATTTTTAATTTTGGTATTTTACTTCCTTGAAAAAAAAAATCTGTATAATTCCTAATTTCCTATTTACACATACATTGTTTCTTTTTTTTATTTCTTTATTTTTTATTTCACTGAGTTTAAGTTTTATTGCTATTTAATTATCAGTTTTGGTAATGTTACGATATTGATAATACACATGAGAGTTGATTCATATATATGGTGGAGTTAACGAAATACTTAGATGAGGATAATGTCCTCTTATTATGTTCTTGAGGGTGAACCTAATGTACTTTTGTTAATGCTGCAGGGATCAATCACTTCCAACATACTCCTAGCCGGGAATGGTTTGAAACAGATGCAGTTCTGCGGGTTAGCTTGGGAAATTTTCTATTTTTCACTATTCTGGCAATTATGATGGTTGGTGTAAAAACCCAGAAGGATCCTCGTGATAATTTGCACCATGGAGGTTGGATGATGAAAATTATCTGTTGGTGCCTTTTGGTAATCTTCATGTTTTTCCTTCCAAATGAGATTATCAGCTTTTATGGTAAGAACTTCTTCCTATATATTCAAATTGATTCCTTATAGTTGATTGCCATGCATGTTAAGCTTCCTGTACTGCTAGCAAAATAAATTGCTTTAGTCTTATATTGGGGCCTATATCATACTTCATTCAGAAACTATATAATTACTATAACTTTATAGAGTACCTCTAAAAAAGTCTTCTTCATGCCTCTATACTTGTATTAGCAAGGAAACACGGACACTTGAAAAAACAGGGAGAGTTGTGTCCGATACGATCCGACAAGCTTCGACACGCTCCGACACGGTGTCTGACACGCGGTCAACTTTTTCGACACGTTGACCATTTCGACACGCGAATTTGATCGATCGTGTCCGACACGGTCAAATGGCATTTTCCTAAAAACAATTTTTTAAAAAAAAATTATATTTTAGAAAAATTAAATATATTAATAAAATTAAATATTATTAAAAAGAAATAAAATTTAATAAAAACTTAATCCTATCCTGAAAATGTAAAAACGTAAACCTATTCTTCTCTGATCTCTCTCTGCCGTCTCGCGTCTGCCTGCCTCTTTCTCCTCTCCTTCATTATCGTATGGTCTCTCCGTCTGGTCTCTTTCTCCTCTTTCTCTCTCGGCTGTCGCTGTGGTCACTGGTCTCTTTCCCTCTCTCGCTGAGTCGCTGTGGTCTCTTTCCCTCTCTCGATGAGTTGCTGTGGTCTCTTTCCCTCTCTCGCTGAGTCGCTGGCCTGTGGTCTCTTCGATTCTGGTTTGAATTTTTTTTTTTTGTTATATACTGGTTTGATTTACTGGTTGCTCTTTTGATTTATTGATTATATTTTTTTCCTAGTAACAAAATGGTGGTCTTATACTAAGCCCAAAAAAATGGCCCAATAAGAGAAATTTCTTCTTTGTTCAGATTATTGCATACTGAATAACTTCTAATTTTACCTTAGAAGGCACCTTAATAATTTATCTCTTTTTTTGTTTATTTATTTTAGACCGATTGTATCAAAATGTATGAATAATATTGTTTGGAAAATAAGTGTTAGGTTTGGATTAATACTTGCGTAAGAACTGATCAGAATTTCTTCTTGTATTTCGGGCAATCATAGCCATTGCCTTTTTCTTTTGTGTCGAATGTATGAGCGTATATGCATCAAGTGAAGAAAATGTCACCTTCCATTGTCACAGATAATATATAATAGGCATGTGAAGTGAGTGATAAAAATAAACGAAATATATTTTTCTTTATTAGATCAATATAATGGTATTATGGAAATGATTTTTTTTGGTTAAATTGATGGATATTATTAGTTTAGTTTTATTTTTTTGTTAAATTATTGAATATTAAATGAAATATAAACTATATAAATTAAAAATATTATTTAATATTAAAGCGTGTCCCAACGTGTCGAAATTCATATTTTTTTAGAATTGACGTGTGTCGTGTCGTGTCACGTGTCGAGTCGGTGCTACTTAGTGTATTAGAGCATTTGAATCATAAGTGAAGTTTGACTACCTGAGATTTATGAGTAGATTGAATCAAAATTTGCGAACTATGATAACATTATTTAGTTAATAACTTGACCCTTTTCATCATTGGAATTCTATGAATTGGAAGTTTTCTTTTTGAAGAAGTTACTTCCTATTTGTCACCATATTTGTCCACATTCTTCTTATGGAAGTATAATGTTGACACAGTCCACTGAAATAAAACTGTCTTCTTGCTCATGCAACTTTATTAATGCACTGCCTGGGGTTTATTGGAAGATGAAAGTTACAGCTGGAATGAAAAGATTACTGTAGATAAACCATAGATTCTTTAAACTAACTTATCTTAACTCTTAATTGTTGGATGCTTTGAGTTATTGCTTTGAATTGGGGATTGCTTCTCTTAATTAAAATATAGGTATAAGTATCATCTGATCATTCTATTGTTTTCCTTAAACACCTAGTGTAGTGATTAGCAATTTTTTTCTAATCTTAACATCCAAAATTTTAGTTTGCTATTCAATCTTTCAGTAGGCATGGCAGGATCTTTAAGTTTGGAGATGTATCTTATAGAAGCTCTATATTTTTTAAGATACAAAAAAACTCTTCCATTCTTAAACAGATTTGGTTGAAAGAGAAATAAAGTAGATATGTTTTTTCCCTTTGCATTTGACATGTAAATTATGTCATTGTTTATGATTATGATGAATTATGTTTATATGCAGAAACAATATCAAAGTTTGGCTCGGGTATGTTTCTTCTCGTTCAAGTTGTGCTGTTGTTGGATTTTGTTCATGGATGGAATGACAAATGGGTTGGATATGATGAACAATTCTGGTTCGTTTTAGGCTTTGCTATTATATTTAACTCCTGTAATATAGTTTCCTTTAATTGACATTATATGTTTGATCTATAATTTCAGTATTTGACTATTTATTTATTTATACAGGTATGTTGCTCTATTTGTTGTTTCACTTGTTTGTTATGTGGGTTCATTAGCATTCTCGGGAGTTCTCTTTCACTTCTTCACGCCATCTGGACAAGACTGTGGACTCAATATCTTTTTTATTACTATGACCCTGATTCTCGCATTTGTTTTTGCCATAGTTGCTTTGCACCCTGCAGTAAGTTCATTTATTTATTTTCTTTGGTGCTAACCACTATTCATTTGTAGAATGTTAATTTGCCAATTTTGTCTCTATGTAATGACTTGTCATTGCTTGAAAGTTGTAGATGATACATATTCCACTTTTTTTAACTTAAGGACATGGTGAAAATGTTATTGTATAGAAGTTCATATATAACCTGTTATTTGTTAAATCTGGTTTATTATCTGCTATTATGTTGTCTCCGTTCAATGTTTCTTATGGATGTGAACTTGGTAAAGATGGGCGTTGCAATATTTATTCCTGTCAGCTTGGGATGTATTTTTATAAGCTTGGCTTGAAGGATTAATTGCTGTAACTTAAGTTTTGTTTAGTTAGGAATTAGTTAAATTCTATACAGCCTATATGTAGACTATTCATTACTTGAGTTGGACCCTTGAGGTTTTTGAATTATTTTCATATACAGGTAAATGGAAGCGTTTTGCCTGCTTCAGTGATATCATTATACTGCACTTACCTCTGCTATAGTGCACTGTCTAGTGAACCAAGAGATTACGAGTGCAATGGTCTTCACAAACACTCAAAAGCTGTTTCCACTGGCACCCTTACTTTGGGTTTAATTACTACTGTTCTATCAGTTGTTTATTCCGCTGTCCGTGCTGGATCTTCTGCCACGGTGCTCTCCCCACCAAGCTCCCCTCGTGCTGGTAAATTCTTAAAATCCAATATTTCTTTGTTGTGTCAACTGTCAAGATATGCTAAATTCAATTTATTTGCCTTGAAGCTGATTTTGATTTTGGATTTTGGTGCCTTGAAGGAAAAAATGATTCGTCATTTTGTATTTGATTAGCATCAAATTATCAAAATTTGCCAAATGCTAATACTGGCAGCTTGCCATTTCTGGTGATTCTGCAGGAAAGCCTTTACTTCCATTGGATGGAAAGGAGGAAGCAGAGAACGACAAAGCGAAGCCAGTTACATATTCATATTCCTTCTTCCACTTGATTTTCTCCCTTGCTAGCATGTATTCTGCAATGCTTCTGACAGGTTGGTCAACCTCTGTTGGAGAGAGTGGGAAGTTGGTTGACGTTGGGTGGCCTTCAGTGTGGGTTCGGATTGTCACGTGCTGGGCAACTGCTCTGCTATACTTATGGTCTCTCCTAGCTCCTATCTTCTTCCCAGAAAGGGAGTTCTGAGGGGGACATGCTCGTTGCTTTCAAGGTTCTGAGGAATGTTGTGTGTAACCTAACTATATATTTTGTCGGAGTTGTGTTGCTTCTATAATATGTTATACGGTATGCATCTATTTCCATATACATTTGAAAAAAGTGTCTGTTATGAATGAAATAATTCCAAGTGGTATGTTTTTAATTGTATAGTGAAAGATTTGTACCCTCAATATATCTATAATTGTCCATATGGTCTGTTCCTGCTTCTTCCAGGATCACCCAATTTTACTGTCTGCACCAAGCAAGCAAAAGACCATGTCTTCTGGAAAAATAATTTTATACTTTTTTTTTTTTGGTAACATAATTTTATACTTTTTATTATAAAGAAAGCTATATATCCATTTCTTATTGTAGTGTCTTAAGACATTATCTATATCCGAGTAATATTACACCTGTGGTTTCTTGTGATTTTCTTTTTCTCGTTTTGTAGTTACGGAAAACAAATAATTGTTCATTTATTTACTATTAGGTGGAATTCGTTAAACTTTTTTTCATTTTCTTCCCGAAGGTTTATCATTTTAGTGGACTCTCATATTTACCGCTAAAAAAATTTATTACCCTTATAATTAATTTAATCACCATTTGATCATATAATTAAAGAGTTTTACTTCTCTCGTGTAGTATGAGAGAAGTTATTATATGTTATGAGATAAATAAAGTGAGATCTACTAATTTTTAAAAAAAGAAAAAAGAAGAAAAAGAAAGACACATCTTTTTATGTGAGTATAACATGGGAGATGAATTTCATATAACATAAGAGTATGATTTCCCATGATTAAATCTAATGGTTTACAATCAATCCTTATAATATTTCGAATTCGTCAATCCTTATAGTATTAATTATCATTCTTCATCCTCTTTTATTTTCTATCTGACAAATTCTCTCTCGGTCTGCGTAGTTAAACAACCATCCAAAAATCAATATATAGTGGTTTAAGTCTGACAAATGAAACTGCACATAAAATCAAAACATGAGCCAAATAAACAAACAATTATTATTTTTATGATTTTTCCTCTGACTCAATTCAACAAGCAGGTGGAACACAATTAAGCATTTCACTCATACTAAGCACAAAAAAATCACCGTGCGTTTTGTTAATGACCCGTTAATTAAACAATGAGAGTGAGATAGATAGATGTTACAACAGAATAAATTGACATTGTAATCATTCGCCTAGGGTTTTATTGGTTGAATGGAAGAAAATGATTTTCTCTCTTTTCTCCGAAAGGGGATAAGATGGAGGCAAAAATAGGAAAAACTTTGGTGGAGTGCGCTGTGTGTAGGGGTGTAAATGGGTTAGGCCGGCCTACAGGGGCCTACGGCCTAGCCTATATTAGGTCAGACTTAACCTATTACAAATAGTAAAATAGAACAGGCCTAGACTTTAAAAAAAATCTATTTAGAAAACAGGTCATAGGCTTTTTTGTACATGTCGGGCCTATAAGCCTACAGGCTGGTCTATATCATATTATTTATTGTAGATAAAATAAATCAAATTATTATTTTAATAATTTTGAATAATAAAATAATATTATTTTAGTTATTCTTTTAATTGTTGAATGTTTAATAGGTTTAAACAGGCTAACAAGCCTAGGCCAATGTTTTTATTTTTAAATATAGGTCAAGCCAAACTTGTAATTTGGGGACTACACAGGCTAACAGACCAGGCACAACGTTTTTTATATAGACCTAGCTCATTTAAGTCAAAGCCTAGCTCAGCCTATTTAGGCTCTTGGGTGTGTGTATACATTACCATCAATTTCATCAGTTTTCACGTGGAATTATCAGTTTTTGATGTGGAATTGGAAGACTAGAGAGAGGATAGACAGAAACATGTGCAATTAGAAGACCTAAAGAGAGAATGAAAAGTAATAATTAGAATTATAAGAATTGATTTTCGGCCTTTGGATTTAATTATGATCCAATGGTGATTATTAGTTATAAGTACTAAACTTTTTTTCTGGTTATTATAATCATTCAATCTTTTTAAGCCAACTTTTTTTTTTGTTTTGGAATTTACAATGAAATAAAAAAAAAAACACAAAATTACATATAGCTCCAGGCCAGTATTGGCTAAATCCCTCTGGAGAAGAGGTAGGCAACCTTGAGGGGGATTGAGAAAAATCTGTTAACTCCCAATCATGTAGGTGGGCATATGTGGCCAGCCAATCTGCCACTCAATTACATTCTCTATAAGAATGAGAAGCCTTTACCAGCCAATTCCTTTGAGTAAGTTCCCTCACACACACACGATCAGAGGCTTCAAGGGATGGTTATGCTTACAGACCTTTAAAATAAAATCTATTGCAGAAAGAAAACTACCCTCTATCCAAACTTTCTTGTATCCATGATTCCACACAAGGTAATAATTACCCCAAAGTTCAGCCATAATAGAATTACCTACCAGCAGCCATATCCTAAGAACATCCCCACAATCAGCTTTAGTGCCATTACAAGCACTTGATCCATCAACATTCATTTCCCTCTTTCTGTAGTTCGTTTCCTGAGCATTGCTCTTTCCTGTGTCCATATTTTCCACATCCAAAACATATCAAGTGCAACCCCTCATACCCAACATGGTAAACATTACCATCAATTTCAAACTCCGATAGAAATCCCTTCCTCATATCTATTTCCACACACAGCCGAGCAAACCTTGCCTTCTCTGTTTTGTCCCCTTCCCCAATCTCGCGTTGCCTTATGGAGTTCCTATCAATCTTTAGGGGTCTACCAAACATGCACCCTATATTCCAGAGGTGGTGGTTCGAGTAAAATTCTACTGGCAAACCAGGGATTCTCATCCAAAAAACCAACTTTTTAACACTGTCATCAAAGGGGTCAAAGAAAGGTCTCCAACGTTGTACTAACACATAGTGGTCAGCTACAATCCAAGGCCCTTCACTTAACACATGATTATAATCTTTCAGGTCCCAGAATCGTGCAACGAAGTACCCATTGTCCATGTTAATGAATTCATGGGCACCAGAAAGGTTCCACATTTTCATCAGTCTAAGTTGTAAGAATTTGAAAGAAATTTTCTTACCTAACAGCTTGATGAATAGGGCATTCTCCCACTTCTTGCATTCCTGTTTGAGAGCAGACTTGTCGTACTTGTAAACAGGGCAGAAAGGGTCACCAGTCTCCTCCTCTTCCTCTGTCTCAGGGGCTTCCTCAGCGTCCTCTTCTCTTCTTTGGATAGTCATCCAGTCTTCTTCCTCTTCGCTTTCCTCTCCTCCCCAGTGTTTGTGAGCAGACTTGTCGTACTTGTAAGAAGCAACATTGCGCTGATTTCCCTCCGAAAAGGCACTATCTTTAACCTCCTCGCTTCCTTCTGCCTCTTGAATGGGAGCTTCCATGAGCATTCCTTCATCCATGGACCTCCTCTGTTGACGGAGCCCTAGTTCCTCGCTTCTTCTCCTTTTCTCTCATTATATGTTCATTTTGGTAGTGGATTCTCACGGTGATGTTGACAATCATAATTGTATATAGCTGGATTAACGGTGATAAAAAAGAAGATAGTAAAAATAATTAAAATATGTAATTATTAAATCATAATTATTTATTTATTTGTGTACGTTATAATTATCTCACGTGATCATGTCGTATTCTTTTAAAACATGAGATGATTTATTTCTGTTCATTTTAGAGACCAAACATTTAAATAATTTTATTATATATAAATGTAAAGGTTAAGAAAATAAAACAACGGTATGCATTTTTTTGTTTTGAATTCTTTTTTTGTAATTCGAGTATTGACATGCCCTAATTTCATCACTTTATTTTATATTTAAACAGGGAAAACTTCTCACAAAAAAAGAGAAATATTCGTTTCATATTGTTGAAAAAAGTTATCTTATGTTTTATATTCATCAAATTTTATGTCAATTTTTTCTTTTTAAAAAATTATGAACCTCACATATTTGTGCAATATAAGATTAGTAACTCTCAATTAAATAACTACATGACAAGTTGCCTTTTGTTTTATTTTATTTTTTAATAAATCCATTTACCCAATTGGATTTAGGATTCAAAAACATTCCGCACTGCATTGTAATTTCAGCACAAAAAGTCTATGCTAACTAAAGATGGAGCATTCGTCCTTTCTTTCCAATGATTTAAATGTGTGTATGTATATTTGGAAAATATATGTTTTATGTCATGTAAGATTCATCTTTTATAAAAAAAAATTAAAAAATAAAAGGATCCATATATTTATTTATTTCTATGACTTGAGACAAAATGTCTCAAACAACATGATATATATATATATATATATATATATATATATATATATATATATATAATGGTGTCATATTTGAATATTTCTGCATGTTTTTTCTTCCTCTACTGAGGTAATTATATACATAAATGAGGACTCTAGGTCCATTACAAAATAGCTTTCAATCAGCTATGAATAAGAAAAATGAAATAACTTGTTACTATTTCTATTTAATACAAAACTCCTATGATTATGTCAATCAACTGCAAATAAGAAAATTAATCTATTTAATACAAATCTCCTATGATTATGTAATTGTGTAATCAATGATTAAAATTCCAACAACTGTACAACTCAGCAAATATTATTTCATTTCAACACTCCCCCTCAAGTTGGTGCATAGATATCAATCATGCCCAACTTGTTAATTGCTTCTTCAAACACTTTTCTTGATACAGCCTTTGTCAAGATGTCGGCTAACTGATCTTCAGATTTGATATAGGAAAATTGAATAATTTTTTGATCTAGCTTTTCCTTGATACTTGTCTATCCACTTCTACATGCTTGGTTATATCATGTTGAACTGGATTATGGGCAATTTCAATAGCAGCTTTATTATCACAATGTAACTCCATAGGTTGATTGTAGTAGATTCCTAAGTCTTGTAGGATGCTCTTAATCCACAACAATTCACACACTCCATGTGTCATTCCTCTAAACTCTGCTTCTACACTCGATCTAGCCACAACTTTCTGCTTCTTACTATACCAAGTAACTAGATTGGCTTCAACAAAAGTAAAATATCCCGAAGTTGACTGTCTGGTAGTTTTATCTCCAGCCCAATCTGAATTTGTGTAGCCTTTAATTCCGGGACTATTATTTTTTTAGTAAAGCAAACCTTTTCCTAGACACCCTTTTAAATACCTCAATATTCGATACACAGCAGCCATGTGATCCTCACTTGGCTTGTGCATACTCACAACATTAACTGCATA